TTCCGCAACCTTGTCCCACTTCCTGCTGCTTGCCTTGGCCTAACTCCAGCACGTCTGGATCCAGGCCGAGTGCGTTCGCTTCCCAGGTCTCTGGACCACAGAAACGAGAGCCTTACTATCCTGCTCGGTCTAGCCTGGTCTCCAGGAGTGGGGAGCCTGGAAAGAGGAAGGCATCGATGTCGGGGTTCGGTGGTTCCCCCCCACTGAACCCTCCTTCCCCTGGGAGAACTGAGGGCCCGTGAACCCGTCGGTGGCTGGCTGCCTGCCGTCTGCGGAGCATCTTCTCCCACCCAGGAACCCTGCAGGCCTGCGGTCTAAAGGTTCGCAGGTGTTCCCTCCTCCAGAGAGCCTCTCTGACCCCAGCCCTCAGAGCTCGACTCTCCTTCAAGGCTCTGAACAGGTAGTTGCCCGTCTGCGTGTTGTCTGGCCTCAGCACGCATGCCCAGCTGGGTTGTAAAGACCTCGCAGAGCGAGCACCTCTTTGCTCCCACCCCTCGTTAGCCGTAGGGACTGAGCATAAAGTAGACGGCAAGTAGCCTCTTTTTGTTGACGTCGTTGCTTCTACATGGGAAAATGGGTGACAGGAAACGGACGGCGTGTATAAACAAGAGGAGTTGGACTAGTGCTGTGAAGAACTCCCATGCTGGGAAGGGCCCTGGGACCGAGAGAGAGGCTACACAGCTAGGGGGGTTAGGCAAAGACCCACAGGAAGGGAAGGAGCAACCCGTGTGAATCTCTGGGGGATGGTGTTCCAGGCAGAGCACAGCAAGTGCAAAGACCCTGAGGTGGGAGCATGTATTTGCTGTATTTGAAGAAAGGATCCCATAAGGTTGAGGAACCTTGATAAGGACTTTGGCTTTTCTTCTGAGCATGATGGGAAGGCAACAGAGCTCTTCCTGAGCTGGTGTGTGAGTGACTAACAACCAGGGCCCCATCAGTCACCTGGGAGCCTTCCCCAAAACCAATGCCAAGTTCACCTCTGCCCCACTGACCCAGGGATGAACGTCGCTCATTAAGAACCACTGTCATGAGGCCCGTGGAGGGGCTCTCATCCCTCCCCATATTTTATCTGCCTCCACCTTTGGTGTGGAAGGGATGAGAAGGCCCATGGCTCTCATCAGAGTCCCCCGAAGATCCAGAATCATATTATAAGGCAAAGTGGGTCCGCCAGGGAAGCTGGAGTAGAGCCCAGGACCCGGGCATGCGCACTGCCCCTCACCCACCCTTTCTATCCCACCTGCCCCGCCCCCACCAAGCCTTTGCTCGGGCTCCTCCCTCTCTGTCCTCTGCCCAGATTCATTCTGATGGAGCAGCTCCCTTCCTTCCAGCCTGTCTTCTGCCAGCCTTCAACACCTCTCCAACTGTGAATGAGCTGTTCTCCTCGCCACACCCCTGACTCAGTGAAGTCAGATTTTTCTGGGCTCTTTCTGTTTGCTTTCCCCAAGGTCTTCCTGCTTCTTCTATCACCCTGTCCTCCCTGCCCAGCACTCAGTATACAGCCCAGGACATGAAGAAAGAGGTTTTGTTTCATTTCCACGGACACTATGCTCGTCATCACGGTAGAGCCCAGCGGCCGCCTTCAAGGTCCTGGGATAAAGCCAAGTGACCTGGGCCTGGGTGTGCTGGGGGAGGACATGCAGGAGACGGGCAGTGGGGTGGCCGGGTGGCCCCCTGAGGGACAGTGCTGGCAGGCCTTAGCAGGCACTGACTCTTCTGCTTCTTGTCGGGACCTGATTGCTGTGATCCCCTGAGATGGTTCTTTATCTGTGTGAGGTGTGGCGTGGCGTGGAGTGGGGTGGCGTGGCGTGGCATGGCGTGGCATGTGGTGGGTGGCGTGGCGTGGCGTGGCGTGGGGTAGTGTGGGGTGGTGCGGCAGGGCAGGGTTGGGTCAGTGTGCTCCACATGGAGTTGTTATCAAGCATCTGGGGTTCAAGTCACAAGTTTAAGGCCCATCTCAGCCACTTAAAAATGTCTGTCAGTTACTTAATATCTCTAGGATCTATTTCTCATCTGTGAAAAGACATGAGGGGACAGGGTTGAGCAAACTATGTGAAACAACGAATATAAATTTGAGCGTTTCATGCCAATTCCATCCAGTCCCTGCTGCTCCCCCCAAATCCAGCGCTGCGCTCTCCCTGCGCTCTCCCTGAGCAGCGTCCCGCTTCCCTGGGCTGCTCCCAGCCAAGCTCTGGGCACAGCAGGGTCACTAGCCCAGGCCCGCTCCCAGGACACCTCCAGCTCCTGCACCAGCCTCTCGGCCCAAGGACCCCACGGGCTGGCTGAGCCGCTCTGGACCCGCTGCAGTGCGGGACTCTCCTGCCCAACCTTCCTGCTCCCCTCCCTGCCGGGGCCACGAGGCCCACAGGCCTGCCGCTCCCGCCCCCATCCTCCCCAGGGGTGTCCTCGAGGGTGAGGTGGCCTCGGCCGTACCTCGCTGGTGTCTGCTTGTCAGAGGACATGAACTGACACAGCGAGAGAGCCGAGGTGCAAACCCATGGAGTCCCTGCCTGATGCTTCCCGTGTTTCTCTCGACACCTGGACTCTCAGGAGAAACAGGCACCTTCCACGGTGGCTGCTGCCCAGTCCTCAGAGGCCCGAAGCCACAGTGAAGAAAAACTGCAAGGACAAGTAGACACGGGGCAGGCACCACCCCCAGGCAGACACCTGGCCCTTCGGGATCTGACAGGACCCAGGAGCCTCCAGAGAAGGACGGGGGCGGGGGGATGACATGCTAACAATGTCTTCTTCTCTGCCTGGTCCTTTCCACATGGGCTCACACCGAATCCTCCCAGTGCCCACGAGGCCGGCATTACAATCCCTTCTAAAGCCACAGGCTTGGTCTCCACATCGAAGGACCTGTGAGAGGGGCAGCATGGGAACAGCATTCTCACAACCGTTTTGCTGATGAGGAAACCGAGGCTAAAACAGTGAGGTGGCTCAGCCAAGGTCACAGAGCTAGCAAGTGGCAGAGCTGACTAAAAAGCTAGAATTCTTGACTTCCAGTCAAGTGCTCTTCATTCAACACTGACACCTACAAAAACCAGAGGGGTGGATTTGCAGAGCAGTGATGGGAGGTGTGCTGCCCAGCTCTTCCCTGGGGTGAAAGAAGAGGCCCTAGAATTGGGTGCCATCACCCTGGTCTTGGCTCCAGCTTCTGGAGGGACTCAGGCCACTGTCTTCCTGCAGGCTCAGTTCAACCTCACAGTTCGGAAAATGTGGCCATTTCTAGACCATCCCCACCCTGACCAGGTGCTGGGTTAGTGACTCCCAGGGCATTGCACACGCGATGTCAAGGAAAGGCAGGGTCCTTGGGCAGGGGGACCACAAGATGAAAAGTATAGTCAGCCACTTGTACATATACGTGAAGCCTTTCCCTTTCTCCTTCATCCCCTAGAGCTGCGCTGCCTAATATGGAAGGCACTAGCCACATGGGCTATTGAGCACTCGGAATATAGGTAGTCTGAATTAGGACACACTGGATAGTAAAGACATAATCTGTGGAGTACTGTGAAGCTATAAAAAAGAAAGATCTCTTATCCTTTGAGACTACATGGAGGGACCTGGAGAGTATTATCCTAAGCGAAACAAGCCAAGCAGAGAAAGACAAATATCACATGATCTCACTCATTTGTGGAATATAATGAACATAACAGTCTGAGGAACAGGGTAGACCCAGAGACGTGGAAGTAGAGTACAGACTGACAACCCTCAGAAGAGGGGTGAGGGGGAGGGAAGAGATAAACCACAGAACTTATATGCATGTACGCATAACCGATGGACATGGACAACAAAGCTGGGGACGGGGTGGGGAAATGGGGAGGAGGGTGTCAATGGGAAAAAAAGGAGAAACATCTATAACAAAAACAAATTAATAAAATAAAAAAAACATAATCTGGAATTTAAGACAGTATGGAATTTTATTAGATATAGGATACATGATAAAACCCATCCAGAGCTCCCTTGATTCCTAAGGCTTTCCCACCCCAAACCTCCCCAAATCATTTCACACCATGAAATGGCTAGCAGAGAGTAAAGAAGGCAAAGCTTCCGAAAGTGACAGGCACTCAGCTTCAGGAAGGTGACAACTGGGTCAGATAAGCCTGTTCTGGAGCCCACTGTTTGCTCTGTCACAGCAGCAGGTCAGCACCACACCAGGGGCAGATGCCAGGGACATTCTAAGTGTGTGATTGGCTGGAGCTGCTGGTTGGGAGGCAGACCACTTATTCCTTCAGAGTATCCTTCATCTGCTTCTCTGCCAGACACTGCTTCTGCTCAGATAGTGCCTGAGCGAGCCGGAGCATGGCTAGAGGGTCCACATGCAGACACAGAGAAATAGAATCAGTGGATTTGCAGGTGGGCCCCGCACATCCCCAGGTCATGGTAGAGCATCATGAAGCCTGCCATTCAGGGATGCTATACCGCAGTCCGCCCTTCCTTGGGATGCATATCCAAGTCTACCCACCACATCCCCAAAGGCTCTTTTTCATCTTCATTGTCACAGCATCAGCTTGCCGGACACCTTCATGTCTCATAAAATCTGGTAACCAGGCTATGGTCTTGGACTCATCCAGGGTCTGTTGCCTCTAGTGTCCCTTCTCTTAGTCTGTTCTGCATATTAGCTCAAAATCCATTTCTGTAACATACATGTTCTCTCTTCACTGCTCTATTCCCATCAGGTGAAATAGTGCCCAACATGTAGGGGGATGCAAGAGATCCTTGTTAAAGACTGTCATGTTCTCATAACTGTCAGAGGGAAATCTGAACTCCACAGAAGAACATCCAGGGATCACCTACCTGTCTACCTCCCCTACTGGACTCAGGCCCCACAGGGAAGAATAGTATATGAATAGTCCCATATACTCGCTGTTTGCAAAGGAAAATCAACATGTGGAAGTACAAGCCTCCTACGGTGTAGACGAGATGTAGCTATAGCTACTAAAGGCCAATAAGGGAAGACTCAGCTATTGGTTACAGGAGTGCAAGATGCCAGGGTTGAGAAGTCAGCACCACTCACCGACTTTTAGGTGGAGGAACTTATCCGAAAAGGTGAGGCGGAACCAGCCAGGCTCCTTGCACATGTAGGACTTGCCAGGGGACAACAGCAGCTTGTTGTCCAGGAAGCGGCGATAAAGGAGCAACTCTTCCTCAAATGTGCACGGGTCCAGGTACTAGGAAAAGCAGAGGGACAGAGCTGAGCCCGAGACCCATCAGGCAGGTCTGCCCAAGAACCCCTGTCCTCACTCCCAGAGCTCACCTCTTTCAAGTTGATCCACACAAAGAGGCCAGAGCCACGATTGAGAAAAGGGATCTTCAATGCTTTCAATTTGTCGGTGATGTACCTGTGAGCTGCCTGCAGCCGGGAGCGGTTAGTGGGCAGGTACACGTTGTCAATCCATTCTGGATGGGGTGGGGGGTGGGGGTACTGTCACAGGTCTTGTGGCACAGAACGACCAAGGGTTCTTTACCACATGCTCCCTACCTGGGCTTCCTGGTAGCTATTTCATCCAAGACTGACTCTGTATTATATTTGAGCTGATGGCATCCCTACCCAACACTCACCTGCTACCTATGGCTCTGGAGGAGACATTGGGCTTCTCAAACCAGTAGGAGTGTTCTGTTTGAGTTTATACCTCTGACACTAAGAGTCGGGGCATCCCCCTATAGGGTTGATGCTGCTGTTGTCAACTGAGCAAGTAGCAGGTACTCACAGCTCCTGTACCTCCTGCCTTACAGCCTCACACAGTGGACTTTGAGGACCGAGATGTGCTTCTTGGTGATCTTGGAGCCCAGATGTTCTCGGCATTGGCAGCACATAGAACCATGTAGGGAATTTTTAAAGGTCCTCACGGCCAGGTTATATCTCCAGATCATCTAAATCAGAATGGTGGGGTGGAGCCCACACATCAGTATTTAAGCTCCCCACATATCCCCATGTGCATCCCAATTGAGAACCAGTGTTCAGGGGGCTGGGAACTTGGTTTCTGCCAAATATCAAAGGACCTGGCACCATGTAGGGAAATATCTAGTTGGTTTTCTCCTATCTACCCTTCTATTCACCCAAAGATGAAAGTAAATTGCATTCTAAATCAGATTATCTGGTTGCTTTATTTTATTTTATTATATACCAGTATTTTAAAAATAATCTCGCCTGGTCAGTGTGGCTCAGTGATTGAGCACTGACCCATGCACCAGGTGGTCAGCAGTTCGATTTCCAGTCAGGGTTCATGCCCAGGTTGTGGGCCAGATCCCCACTGAGGGGTATGCAGGTGGTGGCCAATCAATGTTCTCTGTCATCGATATTCTATCTCTCTCTCCCTCTCCCTTCTACTCTCTCTAAAAAGTAATAAAGAAAAAAAAATTTTAATCTTAGTTTTGAGAGTATCACAGATGTCCCTTCTTTTTATTCCCCCATTGTCCCCCTCCACCGGGTTCCCATAGGATCCCAGGCCTTCACCACCTTATTGTCTGTGTCCATGGGCAATGCATATATGCATATAAGTTCTTTGGTTAATCTCTTCCTGCCCCACTCCCAACCTCCCTTCCCAGCTTTTGTTAAAAAAAAAATTTAATTTATTGCTTTTTAGAGAGAGGACTGGAAAGAGAGAAACATTGATGTGAGAGAAACGTTGATCGGCTGCCTCCAGCACACAGTGACGGGGATCAGACCTGCAACATGGGTGTGTGCTCCGACGGGAACTGAACCCACAAGATGACGCTCCCACTAACTGAGCCACACCAGCCAGAGCTCTAACCCAGCTTCCACTTTAAGTCAGTGAGACTGGCACCTGTTCTCTACATTTGGGCCATGCATTAAAGGGGAAGTTCTCCCTGAAGCCAGTATTCACATGAGATCCAAGCGGCAGAAGAATCCAGGTGCCATAGGTGTAGCCTCAACAACTTGCCCACTGACAGCTCTCCTTTAGCCACCTTGGAAGAAGTTAAATCATACCTGACGAGTCAGGGTGTTTAATTTTTGTCATCTGTGCCTGAGCAAGCAGAATTTTGGAAAGGGAGAAGAGATAACAGATTTCTGAAGTTCCCACCTGAAGTCTCGGAGTATGATAACTGTCCCTTCTCCAGGCAGAGCACGAGCTACCAGACACCCAGAAATTCAAGCCCATCCTGGCTTAGACCAGCACCGCCCTCTTGTCTCCACCCTACTGCACCAGCTGAGCTGCATCCTGCCCTCCTTCAAGCTTCCTGTCCTCCACTGTTCACCCCGAGACAGTGAACAGGAGGTCCGCGGACTGAAGGCATGTCAGAGGCCCGAGCAGACCCAGGATTTGCCCTTGGCCATGAGTTGCCAGGGTGCCTGGACGGAGCTCAGTACCTCTGTCCTGGAGCAGCCGACACAGCTTGTGCTGGGCGATGCCAGAGATGCCGTGGAGGAAGCCAAACGTGCTCACGGCCGAGGCCACTTCCTTGTTGCGGGTGTACAGAGCGCCCAAACGGAAGCCAGAGATCCCAAATCCCTAGGAGAAGAGAGTAGCGAGAGAATCTCTGGTTGGTCTGCCTTCTGCTCCTGGCTCCTCTTCCTTCCTGACCCAAGGGCAGGCAGTGGGGACTCATTTTACTGGTGCCCCAGATCACATGGGTCCTATTGGGGTCAGGCAAACTGGAGAGGAGAGTACAGTCAAGGTTATAGAGGAATATTTGAAGGGTGAAGCTTTGGGGTCTTTTTGAAGGAAGGAGGAAATGGACTTGATGTTCTTCCTCGACAGAAGGGTTTACAGGGCCAAAGTTAAAAAAAAAAAAAAAAAACAGTTGCCCAGTTAACCCAAGAAGTTAACACAAGGTGTTTGGGGGGAACAAGATTAGAAATCTCCCAAGTGCCACTGAATGAAGTCCAGGACCCTCAGCCTGGCTTGTGGGCCTTTCTACAGCTTGTCCCAAGCCACCTCCTTGGCAATTGGCTCTTCACACATGAGGTTCACCCACCATGTCTAAAACGTGGCCACGTAGTTCTTACTGCATCGCCTTCGTTAACACTTTTCCTTCTGCCAGGCATGCCCTTCCCTTGGTTTAGCTGCGAGAATCTTATCCCAGGGCCAGACGTTGTTCTTAAGAACACACTGCCCCACTTCTACGTGTCCCTTAGAAACTTATCCAGAGCTTCCTACCCTGACCTTCAGCAGGCTTCACCTTGACTTTTGACAGTGCACGTTCCACCTTGCCCTCAGGTTTTCTCGTGCACATAAAGCAGTGACAAGAGAAGACACGTGAGAGGACGGACGATGCTTTGCTGGTTTTCATACCCCAGTGGGTAATTAGTTTAGTTCCCAGCTCTAGCCGATTAAGTTTAAGGCACATTATCTGACCTGGCAAAGTAGGAACCTTATAGGTCTCATTCCAACTCCCAGCTGAGACCACTCACCTTTCCATGCTCAGAACACTGTGGAATGGGATGGATTCATCAAACACAGTCCCCATGTAAATCTCATCAATAATCACATGTAGGTTGTACCTGCAAGTTAGGCGAAAAAGGGAAACAACATCAAGGTTCTCTCTCTAATTTTCACTCACTCGCTTTTACAGTCAACTCTGATACAGATCAGATTCTCCTACTGCTGCCCATCCGGTCTGTCCGAGGACCATGACAAGGCAGGGGCTGGTACACCAGAAGAGGCCTTCCATCTGGCTCAGGAGTACTTGGGGGGAAAACAACCCAAAAGACATGCGTGGAACATCTTACTGAACCTTTCAATCATCAAGCAGAGACCAAAGTGGCATTAAGCGGCCTAAGACTTGTGCACATGGCATGGATCCATCAGTGACCTCCATTCCACAGATGAAGAATCAGTTTCTGAGATGCAGAGGTAATTCCCTCCATCAGCAGGTTTTGGAGCTGGGATTCGAACCCAGTTTCATCAGATTCCAGCCCAGGACTTACAGCATTCTTCCTCTTGTCCCTCTGCTCTACCCTTATTGGTCTGGGTTAGTTATTAGGCTTGGATAAGTGCATCTCTTCTAGAGAATAGAAAAGGATCCACCCTCGCTAAGAGGGCTCTTTCGGGACTCCAGACATAGCTGTGTGAACATGTTCTTAGCAATGGGACAGACAAGTTCTATGGGGACATGTCTTCCTCTTCACCCCACCAGGTCCCTCGTCTCTTCCTCGGCACCTCAGGCCAAGTAGTTTGGGAAATGGAGGCTGGGAAAGTGCTTATGCTGCAAGAACAGCTACAAAACCATATTATGATTGTTACATAGGTGTCTGCACATGGACAAGAGTAGAAAGGCCATAAAAAAAACAAAAAAAAACAAAAAACAAGGTTGGTCAAGAGGGTAAGCATGTGGGTGCAATTCCTTCACTCCAACTACAGTTGGTTGTACACCACTTTGCAGAGTACAGTAAGCAGTAAGAATAGTTAGAGTAAATTATTGCTGGTTCTGACTTCTTGTCCGTGAGCAACAGGAATCGTCTAGTCTCCTACCTCTTGGCAAACTCCAGGTATTCCCTCAGTGAGTCCAGAGAGTAGACGTCTCCCAGGGGATTATGAGGGTTGATGAGCACAAGGCCTTTGACCTTTTTCCCCTGAAAGAACCAAACACAACCCAGTGAACACAATCCCTCACCTCTACTTCATGTTCAGCCAAGGATCAGTCAGGACACGCAACATAGGTCACATGACCAAGGCGCAGGTAGAATCTCGAGCAGCTAGCATACTGCCCACAGGGCAGAGAAGGACAGAACTCTGGGGACTGGGCCTGGGAGGGCTCAGTCCCCCTACGGGCATGACCCCTAGGACTCTGCCTCTTCTGAAGAAGGAGCGCGCTCGGTCTCGCTGAGAAGTTGTAGCGGAGTCTCAGCACGGACCCTCAGGGCAGCAGTGCCCACCTGACCCTGGCTCTCCTTACCTCAGTCCTCGCCTCCAGCAGGGCTTCCTCCAACGTGCGCACTGTCAGCTGGAACGGGTGGGGGTTCGCCTCAGTGACCTGGAACACAAGCGCTGCCTGAGGATGGCCCATCCGAGAGCTCTAAGCTTTGATCCCTCGTTCCTATGAACCCCGAAAAATCCTTTGCCTTCATACCCAGGGCACCATCCCACATGCCCTCCGCCCTGATTTCTCCATCCTCACCCCACCACCACTTACAGGGGAGGAAAGTAAGCCCCCACCCTGTGCCTTCAAACCCCTTCCAGAAATTCCATTGCCCAGGTGGGCTGACCAGGGGAAGGGGCCCATTCTGACCTCACTGTCCAGGTGGACGTGAATCAGCTCAACTTTCGAGTACAGGCGGGAAGCACAGGTGAAGCCAGCATAAAAGGGGGTGGGGGTCAGAAAGGCCTCTGGAAGCACAGGGAGACAAAGCTGTCAGTCCAGGATCTTTTGGTCACAACCTGCTGGACACTACCTGAGCCCCAGACTAGCGGCAACTCTACCCACAGGGTAGGTCTCTTGGGCAATCCCTCCTGCTTGAGGATGAATGCTTTGGGACGTAGACACTGTAAAAGCTAGCCGTTCTTATAAACAACATTTGGGGGGAAATGCAAGTGTCCTTTGGGGCTGCACTACAGAAGGAACCAAGGGAAGAACAGAGCTGTGAATGGCCCAAAACCAGGGCACAAATCAAACCAGCCTTCCTAGCAGGATGAGCCCTGGGCCCTCACAACTTCCGGTCAGCTCCAGGGCTAACACCAGAGGCTGAGCTCCCTGCACAGGGAGGGCTCTGTCTCTCCACATGACTCAGGTCATCTGCTCCTGGTGATCTCATGTGTTCTTCTCTTCCCATCCATTTGGCCTCACTGATGAGCTATCCAAGGACCTACTCATTTGAATGAAACTGACCTTCATGGTACCTTTCTTCCAGGCGGTCAAAGCTCATTAAAGTCTGAGACTCTTGCTTGAGTAAAGTTAAGAGGGACATTGAGAACATATCTCTTAGTCTTATTTGATCTAGAACTCATTAGAGTCTTTTGAGGAGAAAGAGAAGGGGTAGGAGGAGGAGACAGAAATTTTATATAGTTTAAGCCAGTTCCTCAGGGCTCTCTGTATTGAATTGAACTCCAAAGACCAGCTAATAATACATGAGTTGGCTCCCGTTGGCACCATTTCTAGAGCATACCTTCGTACGGACTTTCACATGATTTCCTATTTTATTAAGTGGTCATCCAAAGCCCTCACTCCTACAGAAATAGCAGGAAGATTTAAGCCATGTAGGAGAGTCCCAACACTTTAGGAGAAGGACCTTGAGTCAAGGTGCTCTTCTTCCCTCAGGTCCAGTCAGTGCCCGTGTGCTGCTGTTTCCCTGAGAAAAAGCCGAGCCTATCAACTTACCACCTGGATCACACAGAACCATGGTCAGAGAGGAGAACATAACACCGCAGCCATTTAGAACAACCACCTGAAGAAGATGCACATGAGCCAGAAGTCAAAAACCAGGCCCCATTTATGAAGGGCTAGTCCCCATTGGCTGGTACTCCCTGTACCCTCTAGAAAATGCAGAGTCACTCAACAATACAACCCTCCACTAGGATGGCACTGAACCTGGGAAACAGACTCACATTTTCTGGATCAAGCGGGACAGGTGCCTTGCAGTAGTAGGTCAGGAACCGGGCCACTTCTTCCCGCAGGCTGTGGGGAGACCCAGAGAGACCTTGGGGTTTTCAGGCCCAGGGGCCCTTCCTTAGCCAGTGTCAAGACTTTATGTCTTTTCCAAAGAGCAAGGCATCCAACATCATGTTCAAGAGCTACTGACTAAAGGTATAGATTCCCAGGTGACAGATAAATAGTGTGAGGGATGGGACAAGAATGTGGGCCTTTGAATTATAGGGCAGTGTTACCTTTATTACACCAGGCTGCCTCCTAAAGTTGTACTCCAGATATTTTCTAGAGTTGCTACCCAAAGACACAGAGGTAGCCAACCAGGAGTCTGGCCGTTGCGTCCTTCCCCGCAGGAGGACTGGTGCCTTGGACCAGGAGACATTGACCCAAGGTCTGGAGGGTACTTACAACGCGTGTCCTCTCCAGTCAGCATACTGCAGAAGGGCCTCATCAGTGGAGGTCATGTCACCCCGACTCAACTGTTGACAGATAAGCATGAGGACAGCCCGGCCAGGGAAGCCCAGCTGTCTTCATGCTACTCCTAGGATGCAGGTGGGCATTCTCCCTACAACACAGGGCCTCCCGGAGGGCAGTGGGGGCACAGGCTGCATGCTCCTGATGAATGGGGCCCCCTCCTTCTTATCAGATCACGCAAGCAGACAACTTACAGAGAAGTGCTTAACCACCTCCCCAACCATACATACACTTGGGCCAGAGCCTCCCTGTCACCCTACCCAAAATAGACCCACCCACAGAACACCTCAGAACAGTCAGAAAATCCAGGAGGTGGCGTGCTGTTCTAGAAGCTGTTTCCCCCTCTCTTCCCCAACCCCCTAAGTCCCACTCCTGTATCGGCCACATGCTGGGGACTGGGCCTGAATGTGGTCCCAGCACAGCCCAGAGCTTGGCTTACCCTCTCGGTGATCAGATCGATGCAGAGGTTGCTCTCGCTGATAGCAAGGTTAATGAAGCCCTGGAGACGGGAGGAATCTGAGATCAGTCCCCTTGCCCAGCCTAGGGACCCTTTCGACATGTCAGAAAGTACTCATCCCAGACGGTTTCAAATGGAGGGCTCAGTCCCATGAGGCATTTCAGTCCACGTTTAAGTGTTTGAAAAATTTTCCACAGACACAAAATTGTAAAGCTTGCAATATTCCCTGTTTTGAGCCATAGACATACATAATTATATTATGTACCAGCTACCAGTCATTGGGTTCTTATTATGGGCCAAACACTAGACTAAGTGCTCCTTGTGAGTTGCTTTCAATTTCACTATACCTGAGCAAAAAGTTATAATATGGTCCTCACTTTAAAGTGAGCGACACTCAGAAAGGCTGAGTAACCTACCTGCCATGTGACCTTGGTGAAGGGCAGACTCTACCTCCTTGCCCCAGAGCCTGGATCCTTAAGCATCAGAGGCCCTGCCTCATACTCATCTCTGTTATTTCTTCTTCCATGTAGGACCCTTCAAGTTATTGAGGAGGTATGCTCCTCAGAGTCCAAGGGGGTACCAGACTCACTTGGCCTCCAGAAGAGCACGTGGCCATCAAGCACACGTCACTTAGCTGGAAACGAGGGAGGGTATAACTGGTGCCGTCCTCCTCCCTCTGGCTGGAGAGCTGTTGTGAACGTCCCTTGCTGGAAGCCTCCAGTTGGCTCCCTGTCATCCTAGGATAACATCCCCACCCTATCCTGCCCCGTCCACACTTGTCACAGCCCTCATTGCCCTGCTCTAGCCACGTGGCCTCCTCTTCCACTCACTCCAAGCCCTACCCACCTAGAGCTGTCACACATGCTGGTCTCCCTCCTGGAGGACCCGCCCTCCCCCCCCACCACAGGCTGGCTCATTCGGCCTTCAGGACACCTTCCCAGACCCCCAAAGCTGGCATCCCCTCAGCGCTCTTAGAAACATTGTTAACATCCATTTCCCAATGGCTGAGGACATCATCACTAGACTGAGTTCCCTGAAAGCAGGTTCACTTCCGCCTGTGGCCACGTGACTCCTAGTGGGCAGGAGCAGGGATTAGGGAAGGCAAGCAGAGGGCAAGAGGGGAACCCAGTCCCAGCTCTTCACCTTGGGCATGTCACTATTTTGTGCCCGTTCCCTTATCTATAAGAAGAGGGTGCCACCTACTTCGTGGGGCCGGGAAGAGTACGTACGTGCGGGAGCACAGCACTTGGCACAGGACTCAGTCAATCCTAGTGACTGGGCTCTAGTGTGTCCTTCCCACCCCATGTCCTCACCGAGGGGTTCCTGTCTTCGTCATATTTGTCTCCATGGTAGGTTGTGAAATCCTGAAAGCTGGACTGGTATAAGGCAGAGGTGTCCGTCCCACGGTCGGACAGGTCATTGCTGATGAATGAAGCTTTTACATCACTCAGTTGGTGATGAAGCTGGTCAGGCTGCCTGGACGTTTGGGCCTGCTGCCCACCTCCAACATCACCCCCCGAGTCCAATTGGAGCTCCAGGCTATTTGTGGCCCCAGACTGGAAGAGGCTGACCACTTGGCACATCAAGTGCACGAGGGTGGTTTCCTGCCCCCTGGTGGCCTGGCTGTGGTTCTGCTTCTCCAGCTCCAGGTCCTGCTGCAGGTGCCTGGTCTCCTGATGCGTGATGTAGTCCTCTAGGGTCTGCTGCAAGCGCAGGATCAGCTCCGTCAGCTGGGGGTGGGCGCTCTTCATCTGGCCACTGGGCTCATGGAGGGTGTGTGATTGGTGACTCATAGTCTGGGTCCTTGATTTGGCCTCACTAGGCTGGTCTGTACCTGCAGAGAAAGAGAGACCAGTAACTCCCCTGACCCTCAGGCCCTGCTCACCTCAGACGGTCCCTGTTTCTTCCCACCTCTACACTTGGTTATAGACTCTAACTGGTTCAGAAAGAGTTCCTGCTCATTCAAGGGCAATGCCTCAGTGGCCCCAAGCCCAGACCCCAGGGCACTGTACTTTTGGCATCAAGCGCTGATCAAAGCCTTCAAAGAACGGCCACAAGACAGAAAAAGCAAGGAAACATTAAGACTAGTGGAAATATCACTTTTGATGAGATTCTCAACATTGCCTGACACATGGGGCAGGGATCTTTTACTAGAGAACTCTCTGTAACCATTAAAGAGTTCCTGGGGTTGCCCAGTCTGTGGGCTGCGATGGTGATGACCGCCATCGCATGACATCATCGATGACGTCGACAGCCAACAGTGCAGTGCAGTTCCTGGCTACTTAAGAGCTACAAAAGGAAATGTTTCTAGTAAAGATCATTTGACAACCAGAAAACAAAACAAAACAAACAAACAACAACAACAAATATATATATATATTCTTTCTTTTTTTTTTTCCCTTTCCCCACCCTGAGTTTCAACCAGAGCAATTCCTGCTGTATGATGTTCTAAGAAGGAAAAGTGATGTTGCTACTATAAGACAGGAGAAGGAAGGAAGGGAGGGAGGGAGGGAGGGAGGGAGGGAGGGAGGGAGGGAGGGAGGGAGGGAGGGAAGGGAATAGAAGGAAAGGGAAAGGAAGGGAGGAAAGGATTCAAGTAAACCATTCTGCTAAAATAGTGGTTCACAAACTATTGCCCAAGGGCCAATCCAGCCTGCCACCTATCTGTAAAATTAATTTGGAACACAGGCACATTTGCTCAGGTGTCTGTGTAGTGTCTGGCTGCTTTTGTGCTGCAGTGCAGAATGAATCGTTGTGACACAGACCCCAGGGCCCGCAAGGCCTGAATACTTACTGTCTGGCCCTCGACACCAAAGTTTGCCAACCCCTGGCTAGAACATCAGCCCTTCCTGATACCTATTTTTCCCATTCGCAACACCAGAGAGTCAACGCTCAATCTGTGCATCCTCCTTCCTTGCATCACACCTTGTAAACACCTTCGCCCTGCTCACGGTGACAGCTGCTTTGGACTTTCATCACTAGTCACCGCGGCTAGATGCGTGGTTCTTGAACGCTGACGTCCAGCAGAAATGCTCGGAGGTCTATTAGGACAGAGATGGCTTCATTGCCAGACTCGGACTCAGTAGGTCTCGGTGGGGCCTGAGAGTCTTCAGTTCTAACATGCATGGGGACCATACATAATGTGAGAACCTCTGACTACTTAGATCAACTTTCTGTCTGAAAAGAAGCAAAAATTCTGGATAAAACCTAAGAAATACCTTTTAGAACCTCAAAAAAAAAAAACCAGCAAGAAGCCACAGGGTGAGGAAAATAGGCCCACAGTGGCCTCTACTGCTTTACAATTAATAATATGGATCTTCACATCTCCAGACACCAAGACTTCTTTTTCTAAGAATCTAGATTGATGCCTCTTTCACCAAATTTCACATTCTTCTTCCAAGTCACATCCCCTTTACATATGTAACAACCTTGTCACGTCTGTCCCGGGGTTTGTGGCATCAGCTCTTCAGAGTACTGGACACTCTGCCCAACCTCTCCAAACTATGTTTGGTCGGCTGGTGATGTTCCCATAGCAACCTACACTTCTTCTAAGCGACAGCACTGTTACTGGCTCAGTATCCGCCCAGGTCGGCCTTCATCATGATATCCTTAGCACAGCGCCTGCTGCATGGCTAGCTAGCTGTTGAAAGCAGTTAGAATGAAAATCTTTCCAGGCAGGTTTATGGAGCAGGAAATGGGGGCAAAGTCAAGTAACCAGAAGAAGCATGTTTTCCTGGTACAATGTATTTTCCGATACAGTGATACTGAGCATGCAGAAGGCCAGAAGGACACCTGGCAGGTGGACCTCTGCCAAGATCTGTCTTTTCTAGTTAAAAAAGAGTCTACTGTGAACGATGCTTCCCATAAAGGCAACAGGATCCCCAAATGTTCTGGTATTGGATGTACCAACCCTCTCCTCGAGTCTTCTTGCCTACACCTTCGGTTTCAGTGGTCCTCGGCTCCCAACCATCTACCCTCTCAAACCACACTCAGGGCTGTTCTGTAGCAGCTCCAATCAGTGCTCAGAACCTGCCCCGCTGGTGCCAACAGCCCTCTGAGAAAGAGCTGAAGGACAGACGTTTATTATTGTTGGTAAGTAACCAATAATGATGCAGGAATCACTCAGTTGCAGGCCCAGGTGAACCATGACGGTGGAATGAAGATTTGCCCAAAGGAAATCCCTCATTTTCCTCAACCTCCTGCATTTCCCACACCTCCCCTCTGCTGGAAGCTGGCTCCTAACAGTGGCCCCCCTCCCAGTACGGTGCTGTCACATGGATTTGCCAAAAGGGGTCGCTAAAGCCTAACTTTCTGTCCTAACTCAGAAAACTCAGGGCAGCTACCACTGAGGACTCAGAGAAGCCAGGGTGAAGGTAGAAAGGGAAGGACTGGGAAGGCCCCAACCCCTCCTAGACTCACTAGCGCCTCTTCTGCAAGTATCTTGTCCATTAGAGGACCGGGACCTGGCTGGGCTCAGGCAACACAATCCCGTTCTAACTCACCTCAACCCCGGGCTCAGAGGGCCTCCTGGGATATTGGTCTATACACAGGAACCCAGGCAGGGAGGGCAGGGACCCCGGGGACTGTGGGACAACTGAAAACATCAGTGGCAGGATTCGGTTCCAGGTTTGGCAAACACTGCTGTTCCCTCCTCCCTCCCCATACAACACGGCTCCTTCTGGCTTCTCTGCTCCAAGGGCAAAGCGAGATTCCAAGTTCAGCCTCTGCCTGGGTCTGTCTTAGAAGGCCCTGGGTTCTCTTTGCCCATGCTGAGGGCATGGAGGGAGGCAGAGTTTCTCCCCCAAGGACACTGGCCCGGTTGCCCGCAGCGCCCACGATCCCCCAGTTTGCATCACCCTTGTTCCCTTGGTTTCTATTCCTGGGTGTTCAGGTAGCCACGTGCCCACAGGCAAACTCACTTTGGAGGGTTGAGCTCCGCAGACACTGGTGTGGGGGTCACAGGGAGAAATTCAGGAAATGGTCCCTGACCCATCTCAGAGAGACAGCGATGAAACTGAGGTTCTCAGGGGCCACCTAGAGGACCCCGGCCTGAGCCTGGGTGTCTGTAATGATGAGGCTTTCTTTGCTGACATGGGTCCTGAGTTCCAGATACTAGCTCCCCCTCCCCCCCCCTGCCAACAATCCAGGGAGCAAAGTGTCCTTGACCCAATTTCGCAGATGGGAAACTGAGGCCCAGCAAGATTTCCGCAACCTTGTCCCATTTCCAGCTGCTTGCCTTGGCCTAACTCCAGCACGTCTGGATCCAAGCCGAGTGCGTTCGCTTCCCAGGTCTCTGGACCACAGAAACGAGAGCCTTACTGTCCTGCTCGGTCTAGCCTGGTCTCCAGGAGTGGGGAGCCTGGAAAGAGGAAGGCATCGATGTCGGGGTTCGGTGGTTCCCCCCACTGAACCCTCCTTCCCCTGGGAGAACTGAGGGCCCGTGAACCCGTCGGTGGCTGGCTGCCTGCCGTCTGCGGAGCATCTTCTCCCACCCAGGAACCCTGCAGGCCTGCGGTCTAAAGGTTCGCAGGTGTTCCCTCCTCCAGAGAGCCTCTCTGACCCCAGCCCTCAGAGCTCGACTCTCCTTCAAGGCTCTGAACAGGTAGTTGCCCGTCTGCGTGTTGTCTGACCTCAGCACGCATGCCCAGCTGGGTTGTAAAGACCTCGCAGAGCGAGCACCTCTTTGCTCCCACCCCTCGTTAGCCGTAGGGGCTGAGCATAAAGTAGACGGCAAGTAGCCTCTTTTTGTTGACGTCGTTGCTTCTACATGGGAAAATGGGTGACAGGAAACGGACGGCGTGTATAAACAAGAGGAGTTGGACCAGTGCTGTGAAGAACCCCCATGCTGGGAAGGGCCCTGGGACCGAGAGAGAGGATACACAGCTGGGGAGTTAGGCAAAGACCCGCAGGAAGGGAAGGAGCAACCCGTGTGGATTTCTGGGGGATGGTGTTCCAGGCAGAGCACAGCAAGTGCAAAGGCCCTGAGGTGGGAGCATGTATTTGCTGTATTTGAGGAAAGGATCCCATAAGGTTGAGGAACCTTGATAAGGACTTTGGCTTTTCTTCTGAGCATGATGGGAAGGCAACAGAGCTCTTCCTGAGCTGGTGTGTGAGTGACTAACAACCAGGGCAACATCACCGTCACCTGGAAAGCCTTCCCCAAAACCAATGCAAGTTCACCTCTGCCCCACTGACCCAGGGATGAACGTCGCTCATTAAGAACCACTGTCATGAGGCCCGTGGAGGGGCTCTCATCCCTCCCCATATTTTATCTGCCTCCACCTTTGGTGTGGAAGGGATGAGAAGGCCCATGGCTCTCATCAGAGTCCCCCGAAGATCCAGAATCATATTATAAGGCAAAGTGGGTCCGCCAGGGAAGCTGGAGTAGAGCCCAGGACCCGGGCATGCGCACTGCCCCTCACCCACCCTTTCTATCCCACCTGCCCCGCCCCCACCAATGCCTTTGCTCGGGCGCCTCCCTCTCTGTCCTCTGCCCAGATTCATTCTGATGGAGCAGCTCCCTTCCTTCCAGCCTTCTGCCAGCCTTCAACACCTCTCCAACTGTGAATGAGCTGTTCTCCTCGCCACACCCCTGACTCAGTGAAGTCAGACTTTTCTGGGCTCTTTCTGTTTGCTTTCCCCAAGGTCTTCCTGCTTCTTCTATCACAGAGGACTTTGTTCCAACCACCCTGTCCTCCCTGCCCAGCACTCAGTATACAGCTCAGGACATGAAGAAAGAGGTTTTGTTTCATTTCCACGGACACTCTCTATGCTCGTCATCACGGCACAGCCC